TGGATATGTACGGCTGCAATTATAGTAAAAAATTTATGTATAAATATACTGATGATATTATGATATGAAAACCTGAACCTGCTTATAGGCTGATTAAAATTATTTGATAATTGCTCAAATTACATTATTTTAAAAAGAATTATATTTAAGAAATTTATTCGATTGAAATTTATTATAATGTAGAAACATTTAAAATTTATATTAAAAATTTAAGGGTTCTTATCAATTATCACAACGTTTAATTAACGTAAATACATACCTTTTTAATTTTGTGATTAGCGTTAATAATTTAAGTTCAATTTATTTAGTTAAGTTATATTGAATTATATTTTTCAACTTATCGATTTTATAAGATTATTTTTTCAGTTTAACATACTAGCATTATATATGTGTGTTACCACATCTATGTATGTCACCACATTAAATAATTTTAGTATTACTGCCAGTTTGAAAATATTCCATTTTAATCATACTTATATTTTTTTCAATAATCTTTAAATAAGTAACAAACAAAAAAATACCTTTAAGATTACTTTTACAATAAATTCATACAATGAAAACACTAATTATTATGAAGTTCTGATAACATTTGCATATTTAAATATTGAACACATTATAATTTTCACAATATACTCACAAATTTTTTCAGTAAAATCAAATTTTAAGTACAAAATATTTTATTATAGAAAGAAATTGTATTTTTCTTAAAAAATACGGAAAATATTTCTTTAATGTAAGTAATATATATATATATATATTTTTTTTACTGGTTCTATCTACCGGCGGTCTGGTACAAAATTCATCTCCAGACAAAAATCATTTACATAAAATAATTTTTCTATATTTTTATTTATTATTTATTAATCTGAGTTTAATCCAATATTTTCATTAATCACCTATTTCAAGTAAACGTAATAGTAAGAATAAAATAGTTACATATTGATATATACTAAAATATTTAATAATGTATCTACATCTTAAAATAGCTTAAATTAAGAGACAAAATAATTTGAGACATATTTGTTAATTTTTTTTTATGTGCGACTTTAAAAATAGTTTTATGTAAATATTTATAAAGATCACAACCAAACTTAATTTATTAATATAATATTGCAAATTGTATAAATCATTTCATTCTTTTTAAATTAATTCTATGTAAATTATTACAAAATTCTATGCAACGCTTCTTACATGCAAAAATTTGTTAAAAAATTTTGAATCATTGAATAGTTTTTGTTTATTTTAATTAGCATATAATTTATAAACTCTAATAAATTTATAATAAAAATATAATATTATTCATTTTTGTCCAAATATTTATAGTTTTATATAAGAGAACCTAATGCAAATGTTATAAATTAGAGATTTTATTAAAATATTTTATTAAAATATAATTAATCTAATATTAATATAATTTTTTAACTGAAAAATAAATAATATTTAATATTATAATAATAAAATATATATATAAGAATAACCTATTATCAAAAATTGATATAACTGTATAAAAATTAAAAAATTAAAATATAAGAATTTTACATTTAAATAACATTTGATAATATAATAAAATGTAAATGATAAAAGGTATACGCTATTAAATTAATTCGACGTATGTTTTCGACAAAGCGAAAATATATTATTGTATATTTTCTCTATATTACCATCGAAATATATATTACCGAAAATATTACGAACTGTATATTACCATTGAAATATATATTACCGAATATATTACGAACTGTATATTACCATCGAAAGTATATAAGATTTTTTCAATAATCCTAGAATTAATGTTAAATATTATTTCTTAAACTTTAAAAATCGAAATACGAAAAAGATATTTTCCAAAGAAAGCAATATTTTAAAACTAGATCCCATAAAACTTCATATTATATAATTTTAAACTTAATTATAAATACAAATAATAATAATTTATAATAAAAATATTTATTACTATTTGAATAAATAGAACTTAGTGAGTAATAATAGCCACATTGAAAATATTGGTAATGTTTTCTAAAAATGTTAAGATGTTTGCAATTCTAATTTTGTAAATACTCATTATTTATGCACTCAAACAATTTATAAGAAACAGTATAAGTGAAAATTTTTATAAAATGAATAACTTTATAACACTTATTATACATATTTTATAATGATATTTATATATTTATAAAATAGAAACAAACAATAAAAATAATTCTGTATTAGTAATTAGTTATTGGATTAGTTATATATTAATTATATTAATATATATTATGTTAATATATTTAAATTAGCAATGTGAGGCTATATAGTGTACTTCAATCTATAGATATTACCAAATAGTTACATTTTATCTAATTCATAATTTTCTATAATATTTTTGTCTGATATTCCGTTATTATAAAAATTATATTTAGTTTTTAATTAAAAAGTACTTTTGTTTTATCCTACTTTTACCCTACTTTTGTACCCTATATATTTAGTGAAATTAATTTTGTAGTATTAAAATAATTAACAAATATACTAAAAAATGAAAATAAATTTATATTTAAATTTATTAGTAATATTATAAAAAATCATTTTTAATTGTAAATTACTCTCGTTTATTTTGCTTGCCTAGAAAATAAGCTCTTGTTTTTTTTAAATTATCTAGTCTATAATTATTATTATTAATTTTATATTTTAATAATAATAATTTATTTGAATAATTATTATAATAATTGTAACAGTAGTTTAAGTAATTTAATATATATATATATATATATATATATATATATATATATTTCTTATATCAAAGAAATTAAAGTATTTTTTATATAAAACTCTGATTTATTTTCTTATTAACGAAAATTCATTCATCACTTATTGTAGTAAAAAAATCAACGAAATTTTGTAGTAATAAAGTAATAAATAGTAGTAATAAATTAGCAATAAATAGTAATAAATAAGTAATAATTATAAATTCATTTTTTACATCTTTGAACACTACTGACTGCCCTGTATAATACTTTATATTGAAAATCATGTAAATATGACTTTGCAATATTCATATTACAAAACATGTAATACCATATTAAAAAAAAAAAACTGCATTGATTTTGAGAAAAAATTATCATTTCATTTTTTAATTAATTTAAAAATAAATCTGAAATATTAGTTTTTCCAATATCTCTACATCTTAGTTAATAATTAGATCTTTAATTTTGCAATAAATTATAAAAATATTATAAAAGAAAGTTAAATTTCAATTTATTAAAATTATTTAAATTGATATTATATAATCTAAAAGTAAATTCGATTTTAATTGTGTTAAGTAATGCAATATTTTTACTATATAATCAATTCATACATTTTTATTTTACTCTGTTAAGAAAATTAAAGTAGACAAGAAAATACTAATGATAAAGTTTTTAGTATAAATTAACGATAAGTTAAATTAAAAAAATGAGATATTATGAAACTTCTATCAGAACGTTCTTAAATAACTTCGGCATATCTCTTGAAATTGACTTTTTTATTTTTCATTTTTAAAAACTTTAATTTATAAATTTATTTCAAATTATATTTATATTATAAATGTATTTGATGAACAAAAATTAATCTATTGTGTTAAGATGTTCATAATTCTTTATTCTATTTTGCTTTTACTTGTACCCTGTAATTTTCTCTCAAACACTTAATATCTTTTCTAGCTTTAAAAATATAAGCGGCATACACGCCCTTTTATTAACGATCTAATGATTTGCAAACATCATTCTTCAACTTTTGTCACTCATTACAAAGTTTCTACCGACTATATTATGTATGAACAAAGTAGACATCTTCAAAGTAAGTAAGCGGATGTAGACTGAAGCCTTGAAAGGGTAGTGAGTGAAAAGAGAGAAAATTGTTCAGAGAGACTGGAACTTTTAAAACAATCTTGCTGTGTACTTTCTTTGTTCCCTATACTAAATGATAAGTACTGTGATAATATTCTTATAATTTATGAGCATTATATAAATAGGATATAAATAGGATATTCTGTTTATTATGAAATGAAAAATAATGTCTATTTATTTTTCTAGTAAGGTATATATATAATCACTAATTTTAATAATATTAAAAAAAAGAATTTTAGAATGTACAAATTTGTACTATTTTATGAATTTGTAATTTATTCTTAATAATAAATAAGATATTTAAAATTTAGCATATTTTTATAGTATTTTTCACTTATTAATTTCTAAGTTTTATTTTGATTAATATATATGAAATTATTTATTATTGTATTATAGATATTAAGATAGATTCAAAAGCGTATATTATATATTTAATTATTTAGATAAATACTAAATTTAACAATAATTACTATTGAAAAGAAAATTTGAATAATATATCAACTAAGAAATATATCTAAAATATTTAACTATATGTAATACATACCAATTTGCTTTTTAAAATAATAGAATGTAATCCAAAATATTATGTTGAATTTTAATGTTGAAAAATTTTATGAAATTTTATGAAAAAGATTATATTGAAAAATGAAATTATAAAGTAATCAAAAATATAAACGAAAACGTTTCTATTAAACTACTACTATATTTTAATAGTAATTTAAAAGATTTTTCATTATAGAAATATTCTATTTAAATGCTATTAATATAGATAAAGAAGCAAATTACATAATAACATTAGAATTTTAAAAGCGAATTTTAATTTAATTTGCACTATAAATATTGCGTGCTCTCTACACAGTGTATTGCTATGTTCAGGTATATATTAATTAATATTATATATCAAATATTATTATTATAAATCACAAATTATCATTAGTTGATATTCAAATTTTTTATTTAATCTACATTATCGACAAATAATAAATTGGATACAAACTTCTTTACCTTGATTCTTAATATACATATGATATAATGTAACGTATTTCAATCATACATCAATTTCGATAATTTGAGGTTAGTTTAAATTTTTAAATAATTTTTAGAAAATCATTAAAATTTTTAAAAATAAATTATAAAATGGAAATTGATATTGCAAGTGATAATACATCATTAGATGATAAAACTGAAGATTATTGTGAAAATCCCACAAGAGATGCTCTTACAGAAGGAATTTTAACTTTATTAAAACCTACTGTTGATCAACTTGATGAGAGAATTCGTACTACTAGGTGATAATTCGATTCCAAATTACAGAAAAGGAATTTATATTTAATAATTACATTATTTTTAATAAAAGTTTTGACAAAGTATATTTTTATTACATATTAATATTTCATTAATTTAATTTGAACGTTTTCTTATCAAATTACTCAGTAATGTTTTATATTTTGTGTCCTAGGTATAAATTAACATTTTTTAATTCTGTTTTAGGATCAGTCAAATAGAGCTTCGTCAGCAAATTGATTCATTAACAGAAGAACTTTTAAAAATAAATGAATTTCTTAAATTTCCATTGGAACTAGATGTATATGTAACAAAATTAATAAATGCAAAGCAAAAAGTTGTAGTGATTAATAATATTCTTCAGAAAACTGAAGAACGCATAACTAAAATTTATCAAGCTGTTGAAAAAGAAAAAAATAAGCAAAAAGTATTACTGGACCATATTTAATGTACAATAATTAAAGTGCAAATCTAGAAACAAAAGATTTATTTTCAGCTACTATGAATAGTGAACAATCATCATAGTAAATTTTTATGAGACTCGATGACTATATAATTTGATATATTATTGTAAATATGGAAACTCCACTCGTTCATTTAACAGAAATTGAATTAGAAAGTGTATATGAACCATCTGAAGATTCATTTTTACTTATAGATGCTTTAGAGTTAGATTCCGGATATTTTGAATATAATAACCCTACATTGTGTTTAGAAATTGGTGTTGGATCTGGTATTGTCATTACTGCTCTAGCAATGGCATTGAAAAAATTTTGCTATTCATATTTCCTTGGTTTAGATATTAACCCTCATGCTTGTAAAGTTACTAAAAAAACAAGCGATACAAACAATGTAAACATCGAAATTATTCAAATGGATTTATTAAATAATATACAAAATAAAAACATTTTTGATATTATTATATTTAATCCACCATATGTTGTAACAGAAGCATTAGAAATTTTTGATAATAAATTGATTAATAAAACATGGGCTGGTGGTTATAAAGGTAGACAAGTAATGGATAAATTATTTCCAATGATTCCTCATCTTTTATCCGCAAAAGGTATTTTTTATTTGCTTGTAATAAAGGAAAACGAACCTACTAATATTCTACAACTTTTTGAAAAATTCAACATCATTGGTTCAATCATTATTGAACGAAAAATACAAGGAGAACATTTATTTGTGTTACGTTTTAAAAAAGTAATTCATTAATATTCAAAGTATTAAAATCAATATACATGTGAATTAAAATTATTAAAATGTATTTTTTGTATAGTATAATATATATACATATATTACAACAAAATTCATTTTTATTTATAATAATTATTTATGTTTTATATTGTTTTGTGTTTAAACAATTATTTTACATGCTGAAATTGTTATTTTTATATAATTTGTATTTATTCACATCCCATGTAATTTAAGTAATGATAAATATAAAAGTTATTAAAAAATATATAGAAAGAAAATATCAATTATAATGAAACAGGTAAAATTCAAAATTAAAACTACACTTAAACGTAGCCGTGCAAGTAAATATTTTTAATCTATCATTTTACCTACTTATTTAACAGTACTTTAAAAGATATTTATTTATAAGATTTTTTATTCTGTCTGGAACTAGAGAAATAATCTATCAAACTAAGCTGTTTACAAGCACATAGTTGCAGTATGAAGAATAATACTTATAGAAATTACTATAAGTATTTTCAATACGCTGCAGATTAATGGTTATAGGATTTTTTCTTATAGCACAAAATTTCTACCAGTAGCAGCTTATATTTAATAGATTTTCTGATACTAATGATATAATTAGAAAATTTAATTAAACTATTATAAACTTGCAAGCAAGTTCTTAAATACACTTATCTATGTACTTAAATTAAACCTCAAGAATCACGATATTCTTTATTCAAGCTTAAACATTAAGTAATAGGTAACTTAACATATAACTAACTGTTTGGGTTTGAAGTAATTTCCAAGACTGTTGACTATCGGCATCGCTAATCTCTTTAGCTCTCAAGTTTCTGTAAGCACTTGGGTACGAGAATTTTCGTGTATTTGTTATGTTTTGGTTTCAAATGGCCTCAATGTTTATATGATCTTCGAGCAGTAACGTCGTTTGGAACATTCCAAATTTCTTACGCCTTGTTTTTTTCTTAAAATTCTTGAAACTTCTAGAGTTTTCTTTCTGCGCCTCATGTGAGATTCCAATGCAGCAACAACGATGCTTTGTTACCAGATAAGTAAGCTGCCGCATGGATATATAAGGCAAGTGCGCGATGAGTCTCACTCTCTTGCAGTAAATCGACCACAGTGAACCATGGCACGGATCTCCGTCTGCCTCAGCAGGACCGCCACGGAACGGTCGGTATCTCTCAGCAGAGCCGCCACAGAACGAACAAGCCTTCAGTTTTCGTGCGCATATTCAACAGGCTTATAGGCTCATTGTGTATCAGTCATTGCCTTTTGCCCTGCACCAGCCGCTCAGCTATATCACACAATAAAGCCATCCAAGGAGTACGTTCAATCATCAAGTGCGCTACACTTACAAGCAGTCAAGGGTGCTGACTGCATTACGAGAAACTACACTGCTACAACAAGCATAGTCTTAAGGTATTCTTTACACTATATGTATTCCTATAGGTATTCCTTATAATATATGTGTTAATTATTGAATCAATGCATTCAATCTTCCACTTGCCCACGCATTCTTCCACACAACATCTAGTGGTTCTCCTAGTTAATTCTAAACATTGTCTATAAAATTATTATTTTTTAAATAATACAAAAAAGTGTTTATATGCAGTTGTACATATAATTTGAGTAAATATTACTAGTTTGTTCTTTTTGCCTATTATCCGCTATTAATATAAAGTAAAAATTCAAATACTTATTGAAAACAGCTAGTATATCCTTACTTGAATATTCGAATTGAATTCGTTTTATCAGCCTCTTCCGTACATGACTGGATAAAGATTTGAATACGGTATATATTCGGGATTCCGAGAACTTCCAAGTTTTCTAGTTCTCGGAATTATACGAGTCTAGCGATTCTCGGAATTCCTACAATGTTTATCTAGTTTCCAGGTGGTCTAGTTTACAGACATCTGGAAATGGTCAAACCATCATTAAACATCTAATGATCCGGCTTGAAGGACCAAATGTTCGACAGTGTGAGATTTTCTGGCTCGAACTGCCAAATTCGATAGCTAATTATGATTTGCCGTCCGCCCTTCTGTATGATTGGAAATGAATCAAGTAGAAGGGGTTTACATCAATACAGTGTGTCGTTCTTCATTTAATATGGCTTATTAATTTTATTCAGAATTATTAATTTATTCAGTTGTTTAAACTGATTCTGTATAGTTGTATAGTTTGTAGTGACTATAGTTATGCTATATTAATAATATCGTCATGCTAATGTTGTAAAGATTAACAATGATTTATGCCTTGGACTTGGTTTACTCACAGAGAAACAGTTGCCTTGACCTTTTCTGTGTTGAACCTCCACCATCCCGGATACTCCATGCTGCTGATTTCACTATTTCCGATGTTGCGTGTGGATGAATTAACCGTGGTTATAGTCTAGAACTTTCTTAATTTAAAGGAGATAGTGTCAACTCCTTTATATTGCAGCACAGGAGAATAGACACGTCTTCTTTCCTCGGTGACCTTACCTTGAGAGAGTATGACGAATAGCTAGCTGGGTAACTAGTATGACTGACTGGGTTCCTGGCCGAGTAACTTTAAGTGCCGTCTCGTGGTGTGCTTGCTTTAAATATCCATGCGGCAGCTCACTTAGCTGGCAACAATAGATAGGTGTTACTATGCGGAACATATTGCTGGATGTTTGAGTAATGCTTTAGAAGTTTCCAGAATTTCGGGAAACTAAAGCTTTAGAAGGTAGGAGAATTCCAACCGACATTGCAATGCGGAAACTGGATAAAAATTGTAGGATACTCGAAGGTAAAGCTTTGGAATATTCAAGAATTATCGGAGTCAAATGTTTACAAAATTAGGGACCTAGAAGGCTTATACATTTCCGAGAGCCTAAGTTCTTGGAAAATGCTCCAATTCCGAACAACTTTAATGAACTATTTTATTAAATTTCTATTAAATTTTATTTTATATCTTCATTTATTAAAGATCCGTTACACTTGTTTGGTTTATATCTTCTTTCTATTTAAATTATAAAAGACAAACGTAGCTCCTTTAAACTTAGAAATAATAGAGTTCAGAGAAAAAAGAAAAATGACTAAAAGACGAAGTAGATTAGAAAACAGATATATTCATATATATCATACATTTTAAATATTTATGTATCTGCAATTATTTAAAAATAGTGTACCGGGCGAGAAGGGCCAAGTAACTAAGATTAGATGTGAGCTCCCGATGTTGATAGGAGGATTGCAGGCTAGTGAACAAGATAGTACATGTATTCAATAAAGAGTAGTTTTGTTATTTAGTTTGTTTTATTTATGATTGCACTAGTTGAATTATAATTAATTTTATTTTTATAATTGATTTTTTGGTTTTCTTGATTTGTATGTTTATTGCCACTGAGCTATCACGTAAGTCGCATACACAGGAAGAAGTTGATGCCTTGCTGGTCCTCAATATGTAACACACGTGTAGATGAAATAATACACACAGAAGAGCGAGGTTGTAAACCTCTGCGCTTCTTTGTATATGAGCACGTGGCGATTGCTTGAATTGCTTGTATTTGTGTTTTACAGGTAGCTTTACGTATCTGCAGATTGGCGTATATAGCTTGATATAGTTATGTATTAATTTGGAATGGAATGTTACCTCGTGAGTCTGCACGTTGTATATAGCTATGTTTTGTCTTGTTCTTTGACTTGCCTCGTATGGCTCCTTGCAGTTTGATTGTGTATACTGTGCGGACTAATATTCGTAGTTCTCGATTTCCCTTTTTTTGTATTGCACTGCTGCGAGTGTATGATTTGATTATCTAGTACTTGTGTTGAATAGATTAATCTTGTGTAAGTAACTTGGACTTTTGCGTTTAATTGACTTGTTCTTTTTCTGTTAGATAAGATAAGATAAGTTATTGTGCCATGCCGGCGTTGCCTTTTTTAAAGCCTTCTCTCGACCACACGGTGGTCGGTGAGAATTCCCTCTCTTTTGGTGTCGCCAATCAGAGCTGTCTTGTCGATCATGGCGTCGCCAATCAGAGCTGTCTTGTCGATCATGGCGTCGCCAATCAGAGCTGTCTTGTCGATCATGGCGTCGCCAATCAGAGCTGTCTTGTCGATCATGGCGTCGCCAATCAGAGCTGTCTTGTCGATCATGGCGTCGTCTTTAGTTTGTGGTAATTCTAATCACGGCGCCTTTCGAGTGGGGGGGTCTCCCACCAGTGAGTCTTTCCAAGATGGAGGCTCCAATGAGAGCGGGACTTGCTCAACTCCCTTCCATGATGGGGGGTCTTGATGCCGCGCTTTTCCCTCTCCATCCTAGCATTGTTGCATGCATTTCTTATAATCATGCGCGTTGCGATCGGTCAGTGTTGTGAAGGTTAGGTGTAGCATTGTTTTTGAGTGTATCATCTGGCTTGTGTTTTTCAGGCTAATTTTATGATTTGTGTACGCCAGATGTTTTATGATTTGTCGTCGATAGATGCTTTATGGCGAGGCCGTGTCAAATGTCTCGTAGCATTAGTTTTATGACTTGTTTTGCTGGACACTTGGAGCCTTGTTCTCGACAGATGTGTTTATGAAGTTTATTTTCTTAAGATATTCGAAGTTTTGCTAAATTGTTTAGATTTAGTTAATCCGAGGCGCGTTTTGAATGTTATTACTCGCGTAGCCGAGAGTTGCCCTTTTCGGAACTCTTATCTCGATTTTTCCACATGTTTAATGAGCTGGGAGTTTTCTTACATTCTTGAACAGCAATAAATAAAAAATATAACAATAATAATAACAAAATTGAGAGACAATAAAAGAGCCTTCAATAAACTAAAAGTGTTCGTGATTGCGAAAACCTTTTCCTATGCCATAAAACATCTGGCAAAACAACATCATTAAATAGTCGTTAGACTTCTGAAAAATCCTGCCCATAAAACATCTGGCAGTAGTATCATTAAACATCTCGCAAAACAAGTCGTAATACTCGAGAAAACCCAACTCATTAGGCAGCTGGAAGGAATCGTTATACTCGAAAATCTAAAATCTACTGCTCCCCCCTCC